TTATTATAATTATTATTATTATTATTATTATTATTATTATTATTATTATTATTATTATTATTATTATTATTATTACATAAAACTCAGTCAAACTGAACATTTAAAAACCTATCATACATATTATTGACTGGTGCTAATGGTTGATCTGACAGCATCCTAGGTATCAGCCAAGTATCTTCTTAAAATATACAATTATTATTATTGTTGTTGTTGCTCTCTTTTTCTGACTGCTCCATGTAAGTCTTAATTCTTTTTGATTTTAGTGTACCACACTGCTGTTGTTGCTGTTAAAAATGGTCAAAGTAATATTCTTATCTCAATTGCATAAAGTGAGTGAAAACCTCTATGACCAAAAATATGTTGCATTGTTTTTACAACAGGTTAAAAGATCCTTTTTGCCTTTTGTTCTAATTTTTTTAAGTTACTATAGGTTTGAGTTGAAAACTGAGTTTTTTAAGGGGCTTAAAATAAGCCAGTTTTTCTAACATTAATAACGATGGTAGTTGTTGATGTTGTTGTTCTTAGTTCAGTATAAAAAAACAAGTTACAAGATGTTTCCCAAGTGAAATTATATTCTTCCGTTGTGGCCAAAGGATAATTATCATTCCATGAATCTCTTTGAAAATATCATTGATGGCAAATCAATTGATGGATGCACTTCCTTGCTGATGTTTTTCTAAGCAGATTGTGTTCTGTGCAATATGGCATTATTCATGCAGCATCAAATGAAATACAGGCTGGTACTATAAAGACAAAATATGAAGATGCTGTCCCTTTTTCTTGGATTGGTCTTTCTTAGCGCAACTGGTCCTATTGTCTTGAATATGATGCAAAGGGAAATCAGACCCAATGGACACCACCTACTTTGATTCAATCCCAGCTGTAATCCTCTGTGGTAACAAGCAATTTCAGAGTTACTGTTTGTATTTTCTTTCATTAACATTTATTGATGAAATTTGATCCCTCTGTCCTCTTTTTCAGGTCGTCCCATTCCACCTACGTCTTCGTCTAGCCTTCTCCCATCTGCTCAGCTGCCCAGCTCTCATAATCCACCACAAGTTAGCTGCCAGATGCCCTTGCTAGACAGCAATACTTCTCATCAAATTATGGATACCAACCCTGATGAGGAGTTCTGCCCAAATTCATACCTGCTAAGAGCATGCACAGGACCACAGCAAACTTCCAGCAGTGGTAAGGAAATGTTATCTGATTGTAAATATTATGTTTATATGAGCAAATTCTAATTGTTACAAGAAGAGTGGTTCCAAATAGGGACACAAGGGGAAATGAAGATACATTTATCTGTGAATTTGTTGTGGTTTGAGAACTTTATTAATAAATGGATATTTGTTGTGGTCAAATTACATTTTAGGGTTTCTACTGACTTAATAATTATCTAGGAATGCATTTTATCACTAGATGAAAATTGCCTTGTATTTTTGGAGAAATATATACAAAAGGTAATGCAATGCTTTGCAATTTTAAAGAATAGTACATTGCCTTTTAAAATGCAAAAGGTTATGCTGGCCCTGTTTTAATTTTTTTTATATTTTCACATTTGTTGTGTTTCTTTCCATTTTCCTATCAGAATTGCAAGAAATCCTAGCTTTCAACCTTTTATGAAGTATTGATATCTCTCAAATTGACCACTGATTTACAAAATGTTTAGGCTGCATTTTTTAAATGAGGAAATAGATTCTATTCTGAGTTTCTCCATTTTGGGGGAAATCCTTCTACTCCAATCAGATATTCGAAAAGCAGTATGGACTTTGTAGATAAAGTAGGATGAGTCAGGACTAGATCACATAGAGGGTGCACTGACAATTTTATTGAAGTGCAATGTGATTTCTATACTTTACAAATTTTTAAAATATTTGAGACATTGCATTAGGTGTTTGGACGTTCTGTTAGTATTACTGATTTTGCTTCTTTGTTTTCTTGGTTATGCATTTGAACAATTTTAAATGGAAGAAGTAAAGCATTTTAAATTACAAAATTAAATTACAAAAAACAACAAGTGGGATACAAAATCAGGACCACTACTAAATAAATAAATAAATAAATAAATAAATAATAAATAAATAAATAAATAAATAAATACATACATACATACATACATACATACATACATACATACATACATACATACATACATACATAAATAAGGAGTAGAACAAAAAGTTTCAAGAACTTTTTAAAACTATCTGTGATAATAATAAAATGAAGGGTGAGAGCATCTACGGGAAAGTTTTGTTGTTATTGTTATTACTTCCTGCCTTTCCTCTTCTGATTCAGTTTTCTTGTTATGTTATTCTTTTATGTTCCACAGTATGCTTGTTATTGTATGCTATTCTTATGTCACAATAATTAATGAACATAAGATCTGTAATTGGTAAGCGCACTGCTGTTTGCCTGAACACATCTTATAAGAAACTGCTTGGCCAGCAATTTATGCCCTCTAAAGCTGAAAAAAAAAATATATAGAGCCAGAAATTTGCATTGGCAGAAGAAAACAAAACAAGATTTCACAAAAGTCTGGTGATTCTTTTTCTTTTAACATGTCCTCATATATCAGAATGATAAATCTTATAAATCTTAAGTTGCAATTCTAAGCACATACATGGAAGTTTAAAGTTATAGTTATGATGCTTGCTTATAGATAAATCATTCTAGAATTGAGGCTTTCATGAATTCTCAAAAAATGGAAGAAAAGCACTGTTAGATCAGAGTGAACAGCTATCTAGGTCAGCAACTTCTTTCTTAAAACAATCAAGTAAAGGCATCTGAGAAGCAAGCATGACATGATGGCAGTAGCAATCTTTTTTCTTCTCTGGTTACTAAAGTCTCCTCTGCTTGGAGCATGATATAGTGCCCATTGAGAGTCTTGTCCATTATGAATGCAGCCCCCTTTCTTTAGCCAGTAATATAACTACTTTTCGTGCCAGTATATGGCACTAATTACTTAAGAAATGCTCCCTTAGGACTGTCCTGTGTCACTTTGTAGTCAGTTTTACTGGGTCACTTTTAACATTGTGAAAAACCAGAAAAAGAAAAGAAAAGAAAAACTTTACAGCCAATTTAGCTACACCATTTGCCCATGGGATTTTGAAACAAAACACAGATGAGATTGGCTCTTTCAAGGTGTTCCTATCCTGTTAAAGTACAATGAGAGTTTTCAGAGTTCTGTCTGTTTGGGGCTCTTCCAGAATGAATGAAACACTTTCAACTTGCTGTTTTTCTGACTGGGACCAAAGTAGTGTCCTGCTGCAAGTTCCAACCTTTATATATGTATGTGGGCAGGACTTTGGGCACTTTTCTGCTTCTGTCCCCCTTTGCGCGCCCCCCCCCCCCGCCACCAATTCTGCTGAATAGTAGCTTTCTTGCAATGTTCTTGCTCCTGGCTGGACCATTGGAAAAGTTGAAATATCTAGCAGTATGATTCTCACCTGTTGACACTGTCCTATCCCTGGTTGGAGCGCAACAATAATCAAGGTATTCAGCTGTTTACATAGTGGAACTATGCAAACACTTTGCATTCAATCTCTGATAATTAGTGTATAAAATTATATTTCTCTCAGTTTCTACAGTTTCTATACTGGGGCAGGAAGAGGCTTTCTGTTCATTAACTGACTGCCATGGTAGATGTTGCCTCCTACCAAACTTTTTTACTTCTGTTTCCAGGATATTCATTCTCAACCACAGGATATTGTAGCCTTTCTTAAGAGAGGTAGATACATGTACAGCCCATTTATATCTTTTTATTTTCTAAGAACACCTATGGGGAATCTAGATTAAATATTAGCTAGTAAAAATACCAATATAGAATCATACTGATTCATACTGTTATTTTTTTCACCCAAATGAGAAATTTGTCTAATTCTTAAACTTTAACCAAAAAAGGATTAATCTGAGCAGATCTTGCCCTAAACGGTCCACCATAAGGATGCATAATACTGTTTGGCTTATATGTTGATGAATCCATCATATGAATATATTATTCTGAAAGACAAGACCAAAGGAAGGAAGGAGGGAGGGAAGAGACAGATAGATGAGAGACAGACAGACAGACAGACAGACAGACAGACAGACAGACGTGTGTATTCATTCATTCATTTATGGTTGCTTGCATGCATGCATGCATGTATTCATTCATTTATATAGAACAATAAATGTGAAAAAATATACAGTATGCCCAGTGGTGGGATTCCATTTTTTTACTACTGGTTCTGTGGGTGTGGCATGGTGGGCGTGGCATGGCATGGTGGGTGTAGCACGGCTTGGTGGACATGGCAGGGGAAGGATACTGTAAAAATCTCCATTCCCACCCCACTCCAGGGGAAGAATACTGCAAAAACTCCATTTCCTCCTCATTTCAGGGGAGAATTACTGCAAAATCCCAGGTTACTGGGACTCGAGAGGCAGAGAATAGATGGGGGCATATACCGATTCTCCAAACTACTCAAAATTTCCGCTACTGGTTCTCCAGAACTGGTTAGAACCTGCTGAATATCACCTCTGAGTATATGTATGAATTACCATTTGTTATTTCAAGTTTAAAAATGGTTTTTACTCTATGAAGAAACATGGAATCAACTTCTTTTGTTCTGAACCTAAATATTTTACTTCACCAATTAAAGTATGTGTATATCTGAACTTCCCAATGTGCATGTGCATGTATTTCCAGCACATCCTGACCTTAGATTTCATCTAACATTCTAGTCTATTTTATTATGCTGTTCATCCTGATCTAGTTTTGGATGTTAATAGAATTCTAAGTGTTTTCTTCACAATAAGCTAGGTTAGTGGGTGTTTTCTTTTTGTTGTTGTTATTGGAGTTCCTTCTTTTAAATTGTATTAATAAATGATTATAATTGTGCATGATGTATGCAAAATGTGTCCTGCTGGATTAAAAAAAAACACCACATTTTTCCAGTGCTTTAAATTATGACTATTCAAATATGAGAAAGAAATTGCTGGCAAAATACTCAAAATTGGAATCACTCTCTACATATAAGCATTGATTTTTTTAAAATAATAATAGTTCTCAAATGCTTTTATAGACAAAAATACTGCAATAATTCTTTCTACATTGCTAGGAATATGTGCCACTTACAAAACAGCTTGTTTCTGTATTTTATTTTAATTTTATCTATTTTTTCTTAATAAACAATTTATCATAGCCTATCTATCTGCTGGTGTATGGCCAAATAAAGATTGATCAGTTGATTGTTTATAGCCTATATTTTTATAGTTTGGGTACAATAAACAAACTTTATATTTTTATCCTGTTTATTGCTTCTTTTAAACATCACAAAATCCAAACTTGTCATTATTATGGATATAGGAGCGTGGGAGAAGAGATGAGGTTCCTTATTAGATTTTGAAATTAAAAGGTTTTAGATGACATCTATCATGTTTATGGGTAGATTGTTCTGATTGTTCTTCTAATTTAAAAGATGGAGTTGTTATGTGTAGGTTTAAAATAATTCAGTATCTGTGAACTATTATGTTGGTCACATTGTGTTTAATAAACCAGCACTTATGGGAATGAGTGATCCTTCTAGATGAAATATATACTTATGCTTGTGTTAACTTGAACAATTAGATACTAATTCCTAAATTGGCTTATGTGAACCTTTCCAAGGAGAAGATGATAGTTATCTGATTACATTGCTTTGTGTCCTTGCTGCTAACTGTTTTTCATATATGTGAAAAATTCATTTGCTTAAAAAAAAGTACCTAATCAAATCTTCCATCAGGTAAGCAATCTATTGTTGATATTATGAAGACCTTTAATCTACAATAAATCTTTATTAGAACTCATCAGAGCTTCCAGTTTGAAAGAAATTACATTATAGCTCTTAAAATGACATTACATCATTGGGGTGACCAGCTTATCATTTGGTGAAGTGGCATCAATCATAAGTAACATAACTACATAGCAAATAAATTCAACCTTTTTCACTGCAGTTTAGCAACACTGATGGCTCAAACTGCAGGCTAAAATAAAATGGAAAAATGAACTTTCTTTGAATGTGAAACTAAGCTAATTGAATATTTTATTGAAAATAATATTTGGGAGATGTAGAAATTAGAATATAATATGTAACATTTATCATTCTCATTTTTTCTTTTATTGATCAATATTCTGTTTAGAAAAATGTATACATGTGTGTTTTCATGAAGAAATA